GATAGCTTTTGGGGAAACAAGCGAGAGATGTGTTTTTCGAGAGCCGAGATGTGCGCGCGGTGAAAAAGAGGTGGGCATCAAGGAGCCCCCACTAAAAAAAACCTAAAATAATCAATTAAAGTGAAATTAAGCTTCCGTTTGAAACACAAATGTCCAACTGCATATGGTTGGTGTGTGTAATTTTACGTGCTTTTAGCGCAGAAATTTGTAGGAATCCCAAAGGGTGACGGAAAGTCAGATTCTTCGGGAATATCCCTTGACTAAAAACGAGACCACCCAGTGATGGTTGCCACGGAGATTCTCTCATCAATGTTGGCTATGCTGATGAGGGAGAGCCCTGAAAAAAAGTGATGGAAAATGAAAGTGACATGCAAAATTGCTTATATGTGGGGCGAGGTCGAGTCAGAATAAAGGGGGGATTATACCTTCCTGTGACGAGAAACTGAAGTGTGTGCTGCAGCTGCAGATATTCACTTGACCAATAATGACTGCTACGACGACTACAAATGGTGGCGACAATTTGTGCTCAAAACCAGGAAATTAATTCGACTCCCTTATTTTGCAATGTCAACCCTTTTAACTTTTGACTGAATCTCTACTTTGACAGAAGAAAGGATCCCACTTTAAATGAGGGCCACAAAAGTTTATATTTTCCGATTTGTTATTCGGCTGGCTACACTCATGTTGAGAAAGGTTGCAGCGTCTGGTGCTTTGTCGGTACTTTTCCAGAACATGAAATTCCTTTGCAAAAATGGATTATTGCTGCTGCTAAAGGCAAAATATGGCCAGAGTGATCACTCAAATTGATTTTTTTTTTTTTTTATGGCATAACTTGGGGATGAAAGTACATCATCTGCATGGCAAAACATGAAGCATGTCCTTGGGCTTGTGGACTCTCAGGTTTATCAGCAAAGCAGGCACAGTTTGGGGTGCACTCCCCCCGCCCCCCCCCCCCATTTTTTTGTTATTTTTTTTTAAATCCCCTTGGTGGGTTAAAAGGAGTTCACTAAGCCTAGCCTCAGCATCGTCCTGTTTTGCGAACAAGACTAGCCGTCAATCCATAAACTGGTTGAGAGTGAATCAACAGCGCCTCTGTTGGTTGCAGCCAAGTATTGCACTGCTTTGTCTTGACACGATTAATCGGCGAATCATGCCCACCTAATTGACACAATTGTTCACGTTCATTTGATCGATTACTAATATATGTCTATTTGTTTTTATCCGTTTCAGTTAAAACCCCCTCCAGTAAACAGCCTCCCTGTTACCCTCATCTTCGGTCCGCGTTGTGCAATGCGTGTGCGCGTTCGTGTGTGTGTGGGTGTTGAGGCGACGGATTGAAAGCTTGTTCAGTTGATAAACTGTTCTCAGAGCCGCCAGTCAACATCTTTTAATGGTGACGCGAAGCAGCAGCTGTAGTTGTAAACGCCAGCGAGCTGCTCAGCGGGCCAAGTGTCTTTGAACAGGACCGTTGGGCTGATTAACATTGTCGCGCCTCAAAGCGAGCTGCTGGCTCTGCTCCGTCATGTTCCAGCGTTCATTGAGTTTATTCCAAATGTTCTCTTATTGCCAGTGAAGCAGCTTCCCTCTTGAAAAAAACGTGTGGGATGAAGTGGAAGCAGGGGGGGTAGGTGGGAATGAGTTCCCATTGGCTGAATGCTCCCTTGTGTTTGACCTGAATGGCAAACACAGAAAGCGTTGCCAGACTTTTTTCTCTTTAAACATCTCCTCTCCCTCTCTCTCTCTTTTTTTTTTTTTTTTAAATAATCCTCTTTAACGTCCCTTTTCTCTTTGTGCCGTGTTGAAAGAGCCCATGAGCTTTCCCGCCTCCCTATAAGGCATCGTGAAGGACCGGCAAAGGCCAGTTCAGCAGCCTGTCACTCATCTCCTATTTCAGTTCTCAAAGGAATGAACATCGTTTTCTGTGCGGGGGGATTCACTCATGTTTGATTGCTGTGCAACTGGAAATAATCCACCCAAAAAAACACACACACACACACACACACACACACACACACACACACACACACACACACACACACACACACCAAGGAGACCCAGTTTGGTGTCTAATGAAATTACGTCTAATTTGTTTAGCGCATTGTAGCGTAGTTCTATATTGGTTGCTGTAAAGGCAGTCAAGTGATGGCGCCTTTATAGATGTGACGCTTGCTGTAGCTGTCTCCCTGATGCACATAATTGGGCTGAGAGAAGGCCATGGGTACTTTGAAGCCATCGGTGTTCCTGCAAACGACCAGAGACTTCCAGGTGACAAAGAAATTGATATCATGTCGTAGAAGAGGGGTACGAAACTTGAATAGATAACCATGTGGCAGTTCTTGGAAGAAGTCAAAGCCATACAGTATTGTGGTTATTGAATTATTGGCAGACGTTGGCCGAATTAGATGGTCAAATGTTTATTTTTTTTTACTTTTGCAGTTAACATGTCAAAATTTGGCGTGTATTGCAATAATGCACCATTAAATCCCTGCGCAAGGACCGCGGTGGCTCACCCATCCATGCGGGATAAAACGTTGCAGTACAAAATGGAAATAGAAGCTTGGTGTGATTCAGCAGCTGTAGCCCGAGGCGGACAGAGGCCGCAGCTTGTTTGCATACCTCACTCCTGTTTTGTGGAAGAATCGATGTCACTGTAGGACTGGTCTTCCTCTCGCCTTGAATTTGGTCTTCTGTGTCTACTCAGCACTTTGTTGCAGCTGCCGGGTGGAAGTAACTCTTCTCCGCTGTCTTCGCTGCCGCGGCAGAGTTGAAATCTCTTTTCGAAAGCCATCGAAACTTTCCGAGCGCCGTGTTGCACAACTTCTCTCAAATCAAGTTTGACAGCTTCAGTGACTGCAAGCAGAGACACATGTATCTCTCCATTGTAGCACTTTCGACATGCTCATGCAATGATGTCAACCACTCCTTTTTCGTTTGTTACTCTCGGCTCCCTTCCGTAGAGATCCCACAACGTTGCTGCATCAGGGGCTTGACGGAAAACCTGGCCCCTTTCCTTATACACGTTGATTTATTTTTTTGAAGCATTAATATTCATTAGTGCAAAAAGCAATACATTGATTTTGGTAAGATTAGTACACAGTCCTAGCCAAGAATGCAATGGGCAGTGCAGAACGCGTGTGGAAAGCGCTCCGCATTCAAGTGAGTATTAAATGCAATTGTTAAAGCAGACAGCCAATAAAGCCCAGCGAGGCAGTGTATCAACACCTTTGCTTACTCGCTGTTAGCTTTGCACGCCATCGGTCCAAAAGAACACTTCGGGTTCTGCCACTGACCGGTGTCAGTCAAGGTATTCAGGAGGTTCAAGTAAGTTATTTTAAAGTAAAAAGGAAAACCTTCCTGTCGGTTGACAAGGCCGCATCAGCGTGTTGGTGTACATTCTGATATGTTTAAAAAAAAAAACGAATGTGAGGCTTGGTAAAAGAGATTTGGTGTAGATTAAGCGCATATTAGATCACTCCATTTACTATCAAATTGAACTTTTCATTTTTTGGGCTACGACATGTTTCTCGGCAAAAGTACAATTCGGAGCCCATTCCAGTGGGTTCGGGACTCGATGGTTCAATGAGTAACGATTAGTGAACGTGGCTTTTGGGTGCGAGTTCGAGCTCGTGTATGTCCTGATCTACACGTCATGAGCTTTAACCGAATAACCACCGTTTTTCTGACTTCTCCTTTTCCAAAGAACCTGGCAAATTTGATGTGTGGAGTTGTCAAAACTCGGGTCTGGAGTGACATCATCCTGGGCAGAAAATTACCTGGTTGACTTTATTCTCCTCATTCTGTGTCATTGCTGTTTCTTTATGAGTCAGCGGCAGGAAAACCCAGAAAATGTTCTCCTTTACAGGTAGTGCAACAGTTGTAATGGCTGTATCCAGTCATGGCTGCATCGTCTCACGCTTGGCGAAGATGACATGTAATACCTTCAAAAATGCTCCCCTGCACCCAAGAACCCAGTCTTTGCACACACAATTGGGTCTTTTATGGAACCTAATTTGGGCGGCTGCATTCCTCATTAGCCATCACTTTCTCTCGCGGTTGCTTGGCTCCTCCATTAGTATCCCTATCATACGATTGGCCATCCGGTCCGAGTCGTATCATGAAGAATCACTTGCGCAGAACTGAAGTCCCCCCACACTTGAGTCGCCTTCAGTTGTAAACTTAGTGTTGCTAGAAAATAAGAGGCATGCTTTTTTTTTTTTTCTTTTAATCCCTACGATTGCATTTCCAGCTGGAGGCTTTTGACATACTGCTTTGCTAAATATAAACCTGATTGCTCAGATGGTTCTCATGCCGTGAGACTTTTTTTTTTCCCATTACAAAACGGAAACAAATGGAGCTTCTCATATCCCAGCATGCATTTTTTCCTAACAATCTCTCACGACCCTGCTGTACCATCAGACTTGTCAGATCCCTTACAAGTTGCGGTTGTGTAGCAGTCGGTGAAGTAAAGAAAGGCCGACTGATGTTCTTAGAAATACAACTTCTTTATTTTGTCATTGAAAAACTAACGGCAGTCAGCCACTTAACGCTGGAATTATTTAAGTGTTGGTATGCAAATTAACACTCCAAAAAGCTTTGCCATATTATGTCATTTAACTTTTTGAGAAGCTGAACATCTCCTAAGGGCATATCCTATCTCACAGCAAATGCTGATGAATGGATTCCAAGAATTTAATTTGTTACACTTGATACAGCAAAGCTTAACGCACATCTAAAATTGGACTTTACATGATGATGACACGGCATTTTTTTTTTTGTAGTGATAATATTGTTTGGTCAATCAGTTAACTGTGGAGCTCAACTGAACTCTGTTGCTAACAAAAACAGCAGCACCCATTGAAGCATATACAGTATACAGTCTCTCGCTTGATTGACAGGTGTTTAACTACCTGTCAATTAAATAAATTAATATCCCTGACCTCTCTCTCTCTCTCTCTCTCTCTCTCTCTCTCTCTCTCTCTCTCTCTCTCTCATTTTCACAGGGTGACTCCATGAAAGATGACAGAGGAGGTGATTGTTGTAGCCAAGTGGGACTACACAGCCCAGCAGGATCAGGAACTTGACATTCGAAAAAACGAGCGTCTCTTCCTGCTGGACGACTCAAAAACGTGGTGGCGCGTCCGCAACACTGCCAACCAGACAGGTTACGTGCCCTCCAACTACGTGGAGCGCAAGAACAGCCTGAAGAAAGGCTCACTGGTGAAGAATATCAAGGACACGCTCGGTAAATAAAATTTGACTTTCACTGACTAATTTTCTGTCCTAGCCACTCACCTGTTGCATTCTGTCTTCACTAGAAATGTTTTGTCTCAACTCAACTCAACTGTATTTATAGAGCACTTTAAAACAACCACTGCTGTATACAAAGTGCTGTACATGGAGCAAATGTCATACATATACAACAATAAAACAATAAATGACTAACGAAGACAGTAGAAAGCACAAAACAGTAAAACTAAGATCAAGTCTGAGTCATGCTGAGCCAAAAGCCAAAGAATACAACAGAACAGCAGAGGCCCCAGAATTGAGCCCTGTGGAACACCACACGACAGTGGGGCAGTACGTGACTCAGAGCAGCAAAGGCTAACACAAAAGGTACATCGGACCTAAACCACTCAAGAGCGCTACCGCCAATGCCCACCAAGTGCTGCAAACAAGTCAACAGAATACTGTGATCCACTGTATCAAATGCTGCAGTTAAATCCAATGAAACCAGACACACATAGTCTCCAGTGTCATATGCCAAGAGGATGTCATTAGAAACACGTGTGTCAATGAACAGAGCCATGCCTATCCGGTCTCTTAAATAAAATATTTCCAATTTTAATCTGTATCGTTTAGGTGAAAACTCAAGGTCACTTGAGTTCATTTTTTAATATCCTTGCTGCACATTTTAGCACGAGCAACATAAAGTGAAATGTGTCAAAAATAAGCTTTTAATTGGGAGACTCTCTCTCTCTCTCTCTCTTTGAATGCCTTGGACTCTGGTTTCCATGCCAGTACCCTATTGAGCAGAAAAATGCTGCCCAGAGGAGTTGTGCCACAGCCTGGATGTACTGTAGCTCAACTTCTCATCGCCGATTTTGATTATTTTGACCATCGCCAGTCAGCACACCTTTCTTGCTTTGTTCTATTGATATATTATATTTGGTGGGTGTGTGTCACGTAAAATAACACAGTTCCCAACTGTTACTAGTCAGCCCTACTTCATCTTACAAGTACAAATGTGTCGTCCTACAAAGCCGACTGAAACATTCCATAAATGTAAAGTATACAAAGCAGCTCTGACCTAGTTACTGCTAAACTCGGATGCTTTACCTTCAATACCATATAGATAGTTAAACTGCAGCAAGGATAAATGATTGAATAATGACGAACATTCGAAAGGCAGAAAAAGCGTGAGAAAGCCATTTGTTATGACAGTTGCAGTGAGGGCGGGAGAGGGGCAGGGTGGGATAATATTTCACAATATTACAATTCATGTCAAGAGAAAATGGTATTTAAAACCAACTACAAGTCCAGTACTGTAACAAAATGTGATGGAGAGCAACATTGCGACGCGATCACATGTCAAAAGTGTAACTGAATATTAATTGCCACTGTTAAATGCCTTTTTTTCATCTTAAAAAAATGTGGGCTCTCACAGATAATCTTTTAAGATAAAAAAAAAAAAAAATCCTTGTGTGTGGACAAGCCCCAAGTGTGTGACACCATTTCTTTTTCAGTAGGAGCTCTTATTTTTGGAAATACGGCGATCATGCTGTTTTGATTGTCACGTTGACATTGCCAGCCAATTTTTTTTGTTGTTGGTAGCGATGTCGGAAAGCAAGAGGGTCAAAATTGTGAATGTTTCGCATCGGTTCAAGCTACACGACTCCTCGCTGGTGGTGTCAAAATTCAGAGTCGGCTGTTTTGACAGCCGGCATGGCACAGCCTGTCACCATCGCCCCTCCCCCTCTCCTTCCCCTGTTCTTTTACATCCTACCAGCGACGCTGTCCCCACATCAGCCTTTTCTCTCCACACTTCAATCACTGTAGTTGACATTTTTTTTGGGGGGGGGGGGTCATCTCTAGATTGATTACAGAAGAAATGCGGCCCTCTAATGGATATGCTGAAATGATGAAACCTTCCACTGTCCTACATCACATTATCGACTGCCACATTATGGCCTCATTTCATTTGGCAAAACGTCGGAAGCATCCGATGTTAAAAGCCCGAGCTTATGCTGCGCTGTCGGACATTTTCTTGATGAGGTGTTGAGTGAAAGGTGAGGTCAGGAGCTAATGGAACATACTCACATGCTTGAGTAGACAATGTTAATTAACTTCTCATCGCCGATTTTGATTATTTTGACCATCTCCAGTCAGCACAGCTTTCTTGCTTTGTTCTATTGATTTATTATTTTTGGTGTTGGCGAAGAGCGTGTGCGTCCTTTCCCGCTTATTCTCTGCCGCTCTTTCTCTGTAATTGTACGACCTTTTATCTACCTTTTTTTCCCCCTCCTTTAAAATTTATTATCAACAGCAATTGGATATTTGAAATGCTTGCATGCAAGGTTGGACCCCTGTTGTATCATAAATGTGGGGTGGTGGGTTGCGGGGGGCGGTGAAATGATTGTTAAATTGCCAAATTCGCTCTTCGCTTTAAAAGATCCCACCATGTAATAATCGAGTTAAAATGAAAATGCTCCTCTGAGTTAAAACTATAGAAACATAAAAATGTTATGAAAAAATAAATAATGAACACATGCACTGACCACAAAGCACATCTGCAGATGAGATGTACTCACTTGTCACAATCAGAAGAGGTGAAAGAAAACAGTCTACAAAAGGGTTAATAAAGGTCAAGTTCATCAATAATGTTAGTACCCGTACATCCAGGGATGATTTATTTATTTTTTTTAAGGAGCGGCTGCACAAAATTTGAACACAGCTCAACCCAGTTCTGCTTTGAGCTATCTGTCAGTCACTTCATTTACATGTCGCTATTTCTTGACTTCCACGCCGCTCTCCCAACAGGATTTCTCCTCTCTGAGTGGATGCCTTCCAATGTTGTCCCACAAGACGGAAGACTGTACGTGTGAAAAAATAAAAAAATGATTGCCGCTGATGTACCAAGCAACATTTCCTTCTATGGGTGAAGGTGTATTTCAATGAGACCGTGCAAGCAACAGGCCCTTTCGCTGAGACCACTTGGGAAGTAACCTTTTGTGTTGCATGTACAAGCAGCAGATGGAGAATCCTCTCCGTCAAACTCTCGCGCGCACACATACACACAACTATTAAACATGTAGGATGTTTGCCCGCATTATCCATAAACATGATCTACTTGTGATTCCCATCCCATTCCTCTTCATTGTCAGCTGTGGTCTTCGGCTGGCGAGGACCAGCTGCCAAGGGACAACTTTTATTCCCCCCCCCAGCCCCCAACAAGTTTCATGCTACTCTGCGTGAACCCCGCCACGCTTCCAACAATGCAAATGGGTCCCGCTCTGCAATCGGCGCTGACATTTTGTGGCATTTCGGCGGGGGCTCTGCGGGCAAACTGCGGGCGAGATAAGCTTTCAAGGCGCGCACAAACGAAAAGATTTGCCGACAAAAAGCCTCAGCCATCAGATGATTTGCTTTATTGGCAAATAGGCGTCACCATTCAAATGGAACACCAGTTTTATCGCCTGTGCTGTCAATTTAAATGTCGTCGCTGTTCATTGGACTTTCAAAATTAAACGGGGAGTTGTTTTTTTTTTTTTCTCATGTTAAAACAATCCAAGCAACAAAGCAATGTTCTTCTCTTAACTCATTCAGTACCAGCCAATTCTGGACCAAGTCTGAAATGACGTTTAAAAACGTCTTTGGGAGTGAATGAGTTAAACGCGTCTGCTATGTCCAGAAGCCTTTTTCTTCCTGCCCATCCATCAAAGTTGGCTTTTTCCAGTCTCCTTGTTCTTTGTAACCAATGCAGAGTAGGCGGTACAAAGGGGAGCAGCACTTTGCAAGCTTCAGAGCTACGACCTAGCCTGTTTATGAAATGGAAGAGCAGAAGACCAAGGACAGTGGTGAAAAGTTAAACACCGAAGACTATTCTTGCCTTGTGTTAAAATCATCTTATATCAACCTCTTCTGATTATTAGTACAACCAGCAACAAGTTCTCAAGACGCGTGAGACGTTTTTAAATGCTGTGAGAGTTTATGATCGTTTAGACAAAGAAAAACCCCCCAAAAAAACGTTCACAAAAAACGTTTCAGAAATTGAAAGCCGCGATGAAAAAAAGAAAAATGTTTCACTCCGACTATCGGTGTCTTACATGAAGTTGCGCCCATAATAGTTTCGACATCAGAACCCTCAGGAGTAGGGTGGCTCAGGGATATTTTTTTTCTGTTGGGTCTACTTACTCGTGTTTATTATGCAGAGTGCTACACTTGCCTGCTGCTCACTTTTTAAAAAAATTCATTTGTATGTGCCTGTATTTTGTAATTGAACTCTGTTTTTGCATAATGCAACCTAACCACTGGTAAGACCAACACAGATTTTTGTTCATAATTATGTCATTGGGTTAATTGAAATGTTATGCATCAAAATTACTACTGGTATCGGTGTTCGGTATCGGTAACGGTGAGTACTCAAGAGTGACTACTCATACTGGTTTTTTTTTCTTGAAAAAAAGGCATGTTAAATTTACTTATTATTATTATTACTTATTACCGAACTTGGTCGTTTTCAAAGATCCATTTCAACGTGGGTGCTTTTGACATAGTTACAGGTAGTACATGAAACACTTTAAAAGCACAAAGAGAAACGTCTCGTTTTTTTTACTCGATCATTGTTCCGCAAACATACCATTAAAATACACTCTGTCTCCGTCAAGAGATGTTTGAAGTCAGTCAAGTGGGGGAAGTCGTAGCTTTGATCCTGGATGTGGCTGTCTGTCCCGGGCCCTTGGTGCCTGCTCCAATTTAGCCTCCCTGACTACGCTGTCTATTTTCAGCCTTTTGATTAGCATTGGATGCACATGCGCATGTCACGACTCCACAGAACACCCAGGAGAAATGTGATGGTATGTGAGAGGGGGGTGGGGGGTGTGGGGTGTGCACCCAGCGGGGCGTTGTGGAGAATCGATCTGTCCTCCGTTGCTCTGGTTTTCTCAGGATGTCAAGTGTTCTTTGCTTGGGACCGCTGCTCTTTTCCCTGAGGAATGCCGACCTGCCTTTTTCTTGTTGCTATGACGACCTAAGAGCGCTCTGCAGAGGGTTAAAACCCGCTTGGGCACGGTACATGGATTCTTAAGTGGCGATGGCGAGTTACAAACGTAATGGTGTTTTTTTTTGGGGGGGGGGCTTCTCTTTTTTTTTTTGCACGGCTGCATCGCGCAGTCATTCTGCAACCAGTCGTGATTAGTTGCAGACTGTCTACAACTAGTTCGGCTTCAATTCCGATTGACGAATCGCAAGGGAATGACATCACGACAGCACAGATGTTTATGGCCATTCGGAATAAATAACCTAAAGCCAGCCGCCACATCCGACTTATATCCGCATAGAAAAGAGGCCTGGGTCGGATTTGAAAAAAAATCGGAAATGTCCTGTTCGCATTGTACGAAAAAAAATTGTCGGTGTTCGTGCTAATAGACAACCGGTCATGTTGTAAGCACATTCCAAAAAAAAAAAAAAAAAAAAAAACTCATTCAAGAAACATATTGAACAGATACTACAAGATGTATTTTTTGTACATTTAAAAAAAAAATGAAATACATGATGTAATTGTGTTTTACAAAGTTATTTAAACGG